CTCCTCCTCCTCCTCCTCCTCCTGCTTCCCCTCTGAATTGGGGAGAGAATTGACGACGAGGGCAGAAGTGGTCAGGGAGAGAAGTAAAAAAAAAAAAAAAAAAAAAAAAAAGAGGCCATCTCCTCCTCCTACTACTACTACTTCCCCTCTGAATTGGGAGAGAATTTGACGACGGGGGCAGAAGTGGAGAGGGAGAGAAGTAAAAACAAAAAGAGGTCATCTCCTCCTCCTCCTCCTCCTCCTCCTCCTCCTCCTGCTGCTGCTGCTTCCCCTCTGAATTGGGAAGAGAATTTACGAACGTGCGTAACGTCCGTACGATTTGCTTAAATTGACGATGGCAGAAGTGGAGAGGGATAGAAGTAACGACGAGGGAGAAGAGAAGAGAGGACGTGGGCGTACGAAACGTACGTCCGTGCGTGCGTTCCAATTCCTTTCCAAATTAGGCAAATCTTGCAGCTACCTGATCGAACCGCGGCACATGTACAACGTCTCCCCACGAGGCCATGGACAAGGGTGTCTTCGTGATCTTGGCAGCTATGGCGGTGATATCGTCGGCGGAGAGGGCTTCCACCATGCTGCAGAACTCCGCCGGCGGCTTGCGGTGTCCGTACGTGAGAATCTGGCGGCCGATGTCTTCCGTCGTCACTACTCTAGATTCCAGGTTCATCAGGACGTGGGAGATGGTCGCATTCTTCGCCCTCTGCAACTCCGTCTCGGTCACCCCTCCGGGGGTTGCCACGGCAAGGAACTCCTCGCACATGATGTCAACAAGACTGGCGATGAAAGCGGACGGCGCGGTGCCGTGGATACCGAACAGCCCAGTGCTGTTGTAAATGCTGTTGAAAGCGGTACAAGAATTGACCTGGCCGTGTTGATTGAGCACGCGCGTGTAAAGGCGGGAGTACATGCCTTTGCCGGGTCCGCCGGCGGAGAAGGAGCCGCCGCCGCCCATCAACATCTGCAGCACGCTGATGGCAACAGCGTCCTTCTCGTTGCGCCAGCCGCCGGGGAACTCGAACCCCAGCGCGACGTGGGTGACAGGCGCGTCCGCCGCAAGGCGCCAGTCGCCGCCAACGTACTCGGTGAGCGGCGTGGGCGGCAGCGCGACCTTAGGCAAGTCGGAAAACAAGGGCTCAGCGACCGCTAGGAGGTCGGAGTGGTCCACACCCGAAGCCGCAAGGACCATCCTAGGAGCAGTGTAATTAGCCTCAACGAACTCGCGGCAAGCCGCGCTATCGAGACGACCCACGTTCGATTCCGGGCAGAGCAATGGCCGCCCAAGCGCTCCCGCGTACCCGGCTGAATGCAACGCCTCCACCATCAACGATTGAGGATTGTTTGCCATCTCCGACACCTCCGCCTTCACTCTTGCTAGCTGTTCTTTTACCTCCCACTCAACGAACTTGGGATTGCGCACACTGTCGGCAAGCAGCTCCAGAATCTCTGGCATGTGCGTCCTCAACGCGTCGCCGGTGTACGCCATCTGCTCCCTGGAGGCCGAGGCTTGCACATTCCCCCCGATGGCTTCCACCTCCCTGATCAAACGGAAATGGGTTCGGTTGTTCGTGGTCTTGAACGACATTCTCTCTAGCAGATGGGACACGCCATTGTTCCCCGCAGTCTCGTACACGCTCCCAGAGTCTATGTACAATCCGACGGTTGTCGTGGGGCCCGGCGTATCCTCAGAAGCTATCTTCATGCCATTGGGAAGCGTGGTGATCTTGGTCTCCAGGGGAATGGAGGCAAACTCCACAGGGGAGGGGGTTTGGAGCCCCGGCAGCGGCTCGAACAAGGGGGTAATTACGGGTCCCGACTTCTTCAAGCCAAAGAGCTTAGAGAAGAACCCCCCCTCTTGCGACTGATGAGTGTCGCCGCTCACGGAAACTGCCGGGATCGCTTGCGCTAACGGTCCCCCACTTCCCGCCCACGCTTGTGTCCTTGCGCCCCGTTGGCCCAGGCGGGCCCATTGAGGCGCGGCCTTCAGAGAGCGTCGCACACCGGTGGACAGCATTGTCAAACGATGATTGGCGCTGCTACGCTATGTTGGTCCTGCTGCTATCGCCGAGGCACTGGGAATATAAAGGAATAAGCCCCCGCCACGTGTCAAGGGCACAGCTCAGGCAATCGGAGGACGAGGAGAAGCTCCACAATTCTTCCACGTGTCACGACGACATGTCAGCAATCGCTCCCCCGACGTGACACGTCACCAATGCCTCCCCCACCATCCACGGCGCCCGACCGCGGAGAACTCTCCGCACCTGACCTCGCCTTGCCACCCCGCCCCCGCCACCGCCACCGCCACAGACAACGTTGAAATTTCCTCCTCCCGTCGTTTTGGGCGGCAACGCCATCCACGCAACCCCCTTCCCCTTCTTTGCCAAACTCCGGGCGAGCTAACACGCGTGGCACCGGAGAGCAAGCTCCGCCCCCTCCCTGGGCGGGTTGAGGGCCTGCCATCCCTCTCTGGAAGCCTGTGCGAGTGGGCAGAAGCCTCTGGTCCATTCCCAGGACTACCGGCAGGGGTGGAAATTGGGCCTACTTTGCCTACTGGCACACTGGTACTCCTAGATGGTCCTGACAGGTCAGGGACCACGCACGATAAGAGACCATGGAATGCAGGCCAAGGGGTACTGGACCTCTCGAGGCAAACAGGAGAGTGAGCATTTGACACTTGGGATCCAACCTGCCAACCTACGGTAGGTCCATCACAAGACAATGGGCCTCGATGGGCCTCGATGGGCCCTGCTTCACGAGACGAGGACAGGGGACAGTTTTTAGGGGTAAAAAAGAAGGGGTGACCAGGTGCTGACAAGCCCTGATTCGGGGGATAGCTATTGGTTAACCACGGGGGTGAGGGGGACGCAGCCCTGAGAGCCCGGAATTTTTATTTTTTATTTTTTTCGGGGATGCAGGAGGAACCAATTGGCCTAGCAATCCAGCGGCCTAACTCAGTTGGTAAGGCACGCAAGTGGCATTCAGGAGGTCGTGGGTTCAATCCCCATTGGCCCCATGTACCTTCCTGGGCATGCTTGGCGCCCGCCACCTAGAGATAGACCACTGGATCCCCCGATAGGCATTGAGCAGAGTCTGCTGATGTTCGTAGGGGAGGGGACCTGAGGGGAGGCACAGGGATTGGTCCTGTTGGCATGGTCCCTGATGCTACCGGCTGTTCCCTAGCCGGTAGCGCCCACCTGCAGGTCGGGAGCAGCCCCCGCATGTTCTCTCGTGAACACGGTTCTGGCTGCTACGGGGTTCCCCGTATGCCTACAATTAGGAGTAGTGGTAGGTAGGTAGTGTGAGGTGAAATTGAGAGAAGAACATAGCTTTTAAAAAAAAATAAAAAATAAAAAAAGACCTAGCTCAAAAAAAAAAAAAAAAAAAAAAACTGGCCTAACTCAGGCCACACCACCGTAGAACACGGTTATTTTTTATTGTTGTGAGACTTTTTTCAACAATCCCTGTGTGTTTCAACGGTTAACCACCCCTTTGCCACACAGCAGTGTCGAAAAGGCGGGTTTTCAAACTCACGTCCATGTCTTTTATAGATAAATTTTGTTTTCTCTAGATGGTCGGCTGGACAGGTCCGTACCATTTTTTCGCAAGCCCCAGAGAGGGCTGTCGAGACTTGGGCCTCGCCACACCAATGTCAAACCCGTGAAATATTCGGAGAGGGTTGTCGAGACTTTGGGCCTCGCCACACCAATGTCGAAACCGTGAAATATTCAACGACTGTCAGACCATTTTAGACATTCACGGTTTCGACACAAAGGCCACCTCCGCCACACCTAATGTCGAAGACCCAGGATAAGCAAGGTTTTGTTGTTAGAGAAAGAAAGAGAGGAAAAAAAAAAAAAAAAAGGCGAGATGTTGAGGATGCGGGACACTGAGAGTGGGCAACTTTCACCAACTTTTACCACCTCGGAAACAAGGTGTTAACTTTCACCCCGCTGCAGGCGGGCCGTTTCACACCAATGTCGAAACCATTTTTTTGACAATTGTTGAAGTGGTTTTGACATTTTTTCTTCGACAGTCTGTGTGGTGAAGAAGAAATGTTGAAAACTCATGTTTCGACACTGGTGTGGCAAGGCCCTTTCCATAGTATGAAAGCTCTTACGAACAATTGTAGAGGTGGACCAACCGAGGGCATTTTCTCGGTTCACTGTAGCATAGGTATATGCGCGGCTACGTCTTAGGACTGACTCGTATGAACGTCACACCCCAGGGCGCTGATCTCCCGGAGGACTTAAATATTCAGGTTGAACTTTTGACAAACCGTCGCACTAACGCCGGGAATGCAAAACTATTGTGAACAAATTCGTCTAACTACCAATCCTGTCATAAGAATAACATAGGTGATTCTAGAGCTATTTTTTTTTCTACTTTTGGAGAGTGATACCCTTAAGCTAAACACTGAGGAGCTAATGGATCAGATAGCTATCCGACTGAGGGGTAGAGTCTGACTGGGAGGATACACGTGAAAATTTTTCTGCTTAATGCATACATATACACATACATAATAAGTATTTTAATAACATGGGTTTTAAGAGGCAAGGAGATGTCATTATATTTTATGTACATACAACATAAAAAATCCATACGAGAAATAAAAGTTGAAAAAACATTCCATAAAAAATAAAAATAAAATTCAATGTTCGTCCAATTCTAAAATTTCCAGTTTTATTTTATAAGTTTTTTTTTTAAATATGAGTTTCCCCTTCCAACTATATCCATTTGTTCAAGATGGAATGAAAGTCTAGACGAGTTTATGAAATGTTTTAATTAAACTTTCATTCTACTACAACAAATATCTTGTAATGTAGATTTGAATTAACTTATTATAACTGAAAATTTGTACTTAGAATGACGGTCCAATTAAAATATTTCATGAACTCATCCAGACTTTCATTCCATCTCTATCATGTGGTTCAAATAAGAAGGAATACCCCATTCTTGGAGTTAAAGTTTTCAAGTAAGAAGGAAATTTTTAAAAGTGGAATGACATTTTTTAAGATGGAATGAAAATTTAAAATTTATGATATAATTTTACTATAGAATGCTTATTTTATTAAGGGATATATTATTTTTGGAACAAAGAGGAAATATAAATCTTCAAACTCTTCAATCATTTATCGAAAAAAAAAAAAAAAAAAAAAAAGTAGGCTCACAATTTTTTTAGAGAATAAGGAACGCATAAGACCCTTAACCTTTCAAATAATATCTCATGCACGACTCTTGTCCTTTTTTATTACCTTAATAATCATTAAGAAAGTTGAAATCCAAACCAAATATGTAGAAACCACGTGTTGTCAAAGTGCGCGAGATTTACTCAATCTTGATCGTTGAGGAGTTGGACCAAAGTCATGAGTTTATGCTGAGGAGGAGTTAAGTCGGACTAAGAAGATAATCCTCCATACTTCTTTTAAAAGTTAGTTGATTCTGGGATAGATGTCAGGTACAAACACATAACTTCCTACCGTTCCTAAAAAAATTTCAGAGTTCAGGGTCCTCTACGTTTTTTAAGGTCACCTGTGACATGAAAGTGAAAACTCGTATTGATCCTTCGTTTTCATAAGTGAGGTTAACGCTTCTCATATACCAACTTAAAAATGAATCGGCTTTATTACGATTCCCATCAAAGTAATAAAGATGTTATGAAATCGTGTTGATAACCTAAACAGTTTGAATGGATCATAGATAATAAACAACCCATCTGAGTTCACATCCTAGTGTCAAGTCAATAAAGCGTTTCTAATACGGAATGTTTTAGAGAAACTGAATGACAGTAGGCAGCCCATTAGAGTTAAAATCTTACTGCTAAGTCAATCAAGCATTTCAAATACAGAGTGTCGTAGAGAAAGTTGGCGATAGTAGGCAACTTATCTAAATTTAAATCTTACTGCCAAGTCAGTATGATATTTATAATACAAAGTGTCTTAGAAAAAGTTAATGACAACAGGTAACCCGTCTGAGTTCACCTCCTGCTTCCACGTCAATCAGACATTTTTTTGGAGATGAAATGAATGCAACATCTTTACAGGAGGTTAGGGATATCATGTGGCCCATCTGAGTCCACATCATGTCCCCAAGTCAATCAGATAAATCTAATGCGAGTGATGAGGTAGCCTACCGAAGTCCACCTCCTTGTCTACTTGTGGAAATGAAATAGATGAATAAAAGAGGTTAAGGTTAGTGAGGTAGTGAGTTATAAAAAATATGACGAAGTGACAAAACATCCCATCCAAGTCCACAGTCGTGTCACGTCACTACCGTCTTCATCCAAATAGAACACTCAATCATTATTGCTGCATCTAGACTGAAAGTTGGGCAAAATGCAACTATAATGATCGGACGTTCTATTCGGGTGAAAACCGTAGTTATGCAAAGCAGGGCAACTCATTTGAATCCACATCTTTACTCGCTTGTGAGAATTGATGGATGAAAGCAATGGATTGAAAATCAAGGAGAGTATCTGACTAGTAAATCTCAAGATAAATTAAATTATTTTTATAAATAACCATAACGAATTAGTGAAAGGTTGAAGTTACAGGAATGAGAAGTTGTCATTACATTTTTTACACAAACAAACACAACTATGTATAAGCAAATCCTTTCAAAACTATTGACATCAATAATCATGATTAATAACCTTTGAACAACTCATAATGTCAACAAAATCGTTGAATTAAGTACGAAGATAGACTCATAACCTTTCAGAGAAACAAATGAGCTACAAAATGTTATTGACTATTTTAATGAAAGCATACAAGAATTAAAGGTTTTTTGCCTTCTCCATACAACATCAAATGCATGGGGTCCTTTGGCATTTCAATATCTTAAATGTCATCAAGAAGGGCAACGGTCTAAATCCAAAACCAAATGTATATATATTATGCATTATTGATGTGTTTGAGTCGAAGTTTTTACAGTCTAAACTCATTACCACCGAAACTTTTCATTGAGTTGCAGACAAAGATATTTTACTAGCCTGCAAACACAAACCAAACACATTACACAATTGAAAGTAGTAAACCCTCAGTTCATTTCCGCTCACCTTACAACACATTTTAAAACCGCTCATACTCAGACACTCCCTTCTTCGACTTTGTCATTCGGTCTCAGATTGACCATTTTAGTAATTTCAGGATTTTTAAAGACGAAACAAAAACTTATTTAACAATGACTTGAAAATATAAATGCCCTTATTGTACAGTGTCAGTACAAA